AGAAAGCTCGGGTTGTTTTAAAAATTGATATTACCACTGCTAAGTTGAAACATTATGGAAGGCTACTGCATCTGAAGAAACAGGGATATTAAAATTTCACTAGTAAAAGAGCTTAATATATTCAAGAATTTCTTAAGCACCTGCCAAGGATCCAATTAGCAATCAATTTTGTGCTGTTTTATTGGAAATTTGTCATTTCCAAACAAAAAAATTAACCTATAGCAACAGTTACATTTAAATTAAGCCAATCTTAATAACTTAAACCAAAATTATCTGTAGTCTTTTGTTTCAGTCTGAAGTTGATATATATTACTAATTATTTTAATATTTCATTGTGGTGCTTGTGTTCTATCACTTAGAAATGACATGATTTCACAGATGATCATTCAAAAATATGATACATCTATACCATCTATCATGGCCCTCCATACGTAATGAAAATTGGCATATGCTTTATGCAAAACAGGTCATGTAATCTATTATTCAGAAGCCTGTGATCCCTTGAATGTGTATATCCTATTTTTATGCATGTATCATTCTTGCATGTGAAGTTAGAAATATGAGTCTCTTTTAAATGTTAAATGTGCTAATGAGGGCCATTAATGATACTTTAGGAACTTGATGGCTCAGTGATCAAGTCAATGACCTGTGAGTTGTTTTGCTTTTTTTCTTGTAAGCTCAAATTGCCATTGGTCCTATGAAGACATGTGGTCAGGCCACCTGATGTTGGATTTGGTAATTTCCCTCTCCAGAGGAGAAAAAATTGGACTGAGCACAAAGAATTTCCTCCTTGGGCAAAAGGAATACAAAGGGGGGAAACCAAATAATAGAGGGAATAACTAGACACCAGGAGACCCCCTAATTTACCACCCAAGATGCCTACTAGAAACATATAAGACTGAACAGGGAAAGGCTTGGGCTGAAACTAGGAGGATGCTTAACATGAGCAAGAGAGCGAGGGGTAACACTTTGCATGTAACAAGTTACTCAGGGCCCCGACCCAGCGCAGCAGGGCAGCCATGCAACCCATGGGAGCACGGCAGGAGCATGGCAACCATGCAACGCTGACCCTGGGAAGCCCCAGCCAGGCAGGACAGAAGCAGGGCCATGGCAGCTGGGGAGTTGTGTCCCCAGAGAGCAGTGGGCCATAGCCAAAGCCAGACCCTGTAGCAGCAGGGCTGGAGCAGAGCCAGCTGGAAAGAGGGGCAACGCCCTGGGAGGCTGGTGGCTGGGGACCTCCCCTGATCTGGCAAACTCCCTCATTTGGTCCCGAGGGTGCTGGGCCTCGGCAGTCCAACCTGTAGTTTAGGGAGAACCCAACTGCTTTAGACATTGCCACAGGACCTATTTCTAATAGTGATTATGAAATGCTAAGGGAGATTAGAGAGGCTATCAAAATAAAGAACTCAATAATAGTGGAGGATTTCAACTATCCCCATACTGACTGGGAAAATGTCACCTCAGGACGAGATGCAGAGACAAAATTTCTTGATACCTTAAACGACTGCTTCTTGGAGCAGCTGGTACAGGAACTCACAAGGGGAGAGGCAATTCTCGATTTAGTCCTATGTGGCGCGCAGGATCTGGTCCAAGAGATAACTATAATAGGACCGCTTGGAAATACTGACCATAATATAATAACATTTAACATTCCTGTGGTGGGAAGAACACCTTAGCAACCCAACACTGTGGCATTTAATTTCAAAAAGGGGAACTATGCAAAAATGAGGAGGTTAGTTAAACAGAAATTAAAAGGTACAGTGACTAGAGTAAAATCCCTGCAAGCTGCATGGACACATTTCAAAGACACCATAATAGAGGCCCAACTTAAATGTATACCCCAAATTAAAAAACATAGTAGAAAAATGAAAAAAGAGCCACCATGACTTAACAACGCACCTGCTCCACACTGGCCCTTTAAGGGAAAAAGCCAGGCCTGGGACAGTGT